AATCTTTGGTTGGGGGGGGGGGGCTTCACCGAAACCTTAGTGGGCCCTGCCAAACTATGTAGCCTGCCTGCCTGCCCACCCTCTGCCCTGCCCTGCTTGTAATGACTCGGAGCCTTTTGGATAAGGAAGCCTGATGGGCTTTGCATTCCCTCGTCGCAGTCGCTGAACCCCAACTTGCTGGCCGTGGTGACAGAGAGCACGGACACGCACCAGGAGCGCTCGTTCATCGGGATCTACCTGATCGATGGCGTCACTGGCCGGATCATCCACTCCTCCGTGCAGAAGAAGGCCGAGGGACCGGTGCACATTGTCCATTCAGAGAACTGGGTGGTGGTAAGGACTCGTGTTCCCCCCACTCCCCAAAAGCTGCAGGAGCTTGGAAACTGCTGGGCCGTTACGGCACCGTTGTGAAAAATGTCACAAAGCGGGGAGAGTCGTTGCTGCCCGTGAGTCGAGGGGACCCATCGCTGCCCTAGGGTGGGCTTGGCACTGCGCCAGCCCTTCAAAGTAGGCCAGGTCGTGAAACAGACACCACAAGGACCACAGGAATGTGGCTTTATTGTTATAGGGTATAATAACAGAACCTTGAAAGCCTGCCAGTTTCTCTTACATCTGAGAGAATCAAGGCGTGGTTATTTTGAGTCCCTTTCTCACACTTCCTCCTTTCCCTTTCTCTTCATGGCGGCCTACTTTCTCAAGGCTGTCTCCACACTCCTCTCCGCCTGTTTGCAGCTTTTTGGCTGTTCCTCCCCCCGCCCAGATCTCCCCTTTCACGTTCGCCTCTTCCCTCCACAGTACCTGTACTGGAATGCCAAAGCCCGCCGGAACGAGTTCACCGTGCTGGAGCTGTTCGAAGGCACCACGCAGTACAACGCCACCGCCTTCAGCTCCTTGGACCGGCCCTACTCGCCTCAGGTGCTGCAGCAGTCCTACATCTTCCCCTCCGCCATCAGCGCCATGGAAGCGACCATCACCGAACGGGGCATCACCAGTCGCCATCTGCTGAGTTAAGGAGCGGGTCTGGGAAGGGAGGCCGGGCCGCCTGTCCTTCCCCCCTGTCCTGGGAATTCGGCCGAGGAGCTTGGCTGGTTCGTGGGGCGGGGTCCTCTTCGGGTGGGGGGAGACCGGTTGACCAGCTGCAGAGCAGATCGACCCCTCCAGCCAGGAACCGGTTCCCCAACGTCTCAGGAGCTGGATTTTTGCCCTGGATGTTTTCCACGTCCCCGGGAAAGAAGGCTGCTGTGTTTCGGGGAACGGAAGAGGGGCCTTCCAAGACTGAAACTGGGAAGCGAAAAGGAGATGGAGAATTAAAACACCCGGTCAGGCAGAACGGTCTGAAAATACGAAAAGTATCATGTATTTTTCCTTTCACCTTTTTGAGATGGTCTTATCCTTCTTCTCTTCTCTTCTCTTCTCTTCTCTTCTCTTCTCTTCTCTTCTCTTCTCTTCT